CAGGTTTTCTTTGTAAGCCCCAAATCTATGCCCCTTCCCCCACTGCTTTTTTAATAAACTTTAAAAAAACCTTTTTTTCTTTGCTTACTGGGTAGCTGAGCCGACTGCAAAGTGCAGAGTCAACAAGGCCCCATCCAGCCTCCATCTTCATTTGCCCACAGGCACTGCACATATTTATGTGTTGTGGTGCTGTGCCCTTCCAGGTCCTTCTACGTACCTTGCAATGCCCCTCCTTGCTAGAACACATGGAAGTTTGCTTATTCCAAGGTAACAACCCCTTGGATGTTTTTGCTGTTCAGGCTTTTAGCTCACCTTCTTCCCGTAAGTCATGCAATGTGAATGCCGTAGGACTTGCAATGGCCAGAATTTATTTCTTAAGGAATCAGAGCTGTTTACAACAATTGTACATAAAACCCTGCAATAAATGCCATTAAAAAAAAAATTTAAACTGCAAAACAGCTGTTCTGGAAAGATGAATTCTTCGTTGCCTGCATAGGACTGATGGAATGGAAAAGTTTTCAGCCGTTTTCTACTGAAAGTAGAAACAGAAGGTGCCTGCTGAACCGCTCTTGGCAGAGCATTATTCCACAAGACTCATCCAAGGACACTGAAGGACACTTTCAAATGAGCCTTACCTGCCTGGAGGATGACCAACGATGCTCCTGCAGGTGATATCAGTGATGGAGCTGGGATGCAACAGTTCAGGCGGCCTTTGAGGTTCCCTAGACCTGAGCTGTTCAGGGCTTTGTAGATTGATACGAGGACCTTGAACCTGGCTCTGCAGTAGCAGATGAGAATGCTTACATGCATTGCAGAATCCTCTCTGCTGCGCAAACGATGGTCAGGCACCAATGAAACTCACCTTAAGCCCGGTAGGAGAACAGTATGTGATCTTAACCTCCGATTCTCGTGACCAAGAGCTCTGAGCATGCACAGATTTGACAGAGACAAAATTTATTTCAATAGGGAGGTTTATGCATAGAGGTTGGGCTGAATGTTCATTATCTATCACCACTAGGCCGCAAGGTGAAGTGACCTGTGGGGGGATAGATGAAGGCAGGCACTGGGACCTGAATGATGCATTGAGATGGCTGGTTGGGCACCAGTTGGTCTGCATTCCATGTTGCAAAATGTATTATTGGGCTGTGTTGCTTCAGTGCTGGCTGGCATCATCTGCTTGTTTTGTTCCCAGGTCTGGACCTGTTTCTCAGTTACCGTTTCCCACCTTCTGCTTCTCTGCAGTGAGCCATGTAAATTTTGATTCTGAGTGTGTATGACATCATCGTGCGACTTGATCAGCAAACAACAACAACATATATTACATCATTCATAGAACTGTAGAGTTTTGGGGGATTCTGAGGATCATCGAGTCCAACCCTCTGCAATGCAGGAGTAGTCAGCCGCCCCATACAGGGATCGAGCCCGCACCTTTGGCATGACCAGCACCATGCTCTAACCCAGGCAAAGGCAAACTCGGCCCTCCAGATGTTTTGGGACTACAACACCCATCATCCTCAGCTAACAGGACCAGTGGTCAGGGATGATGGGAGTTGTAGTCCCAAAACATCTGGAGGGCCAAGTTTGCCTATGCCTACTCTAACCAACTGAGCTATCCAAATCAAAACAAACAGCAGCAAGGGCAAGGGAGGAGGGAAATGGTCATGACAAGCAGCCCCCAGAGAAGGAAAGGGAGTCACAATGATGCAACACACAACACACATAAAATTGTAGCATTAGTGTTAGGATAAGTGTTGCTGTCGTTCATATGGGGGCTAACCACCTACGACAGGCTAGGGCTGCGTAATAAAATGCACTTTCTGTCCCACAGTGGCAGGGTGAGCAGCAGCACTCCCTCTTGAGAGAATATAGAAATGTGTATGCGATTGGGGCAGGGAGAACTATCTGGGGGCACAACTAACAAGCTCCACCTTCCCGCAAGCAACAGGGAAGCATGTGGCCTAAGGATGACCTCCCTGCCGAAATGGAAGTTGCTAACTAAAGCTACCTTTGTGAAAACAAACAGCCATGATGCTAGATCTCATGGGGTCCTCTTTTTTCCCTTTTTCTTCCCCTCGCCTGCTGACCACAGAGATGCTCCAGTTGTCAGCAAGTAGGAGCAACCATTGGCTGCTGCCATAAGGGGTGTGCCCAAACCTTTCACTACATATGTGCCATTGATACAGGTAAGATTCCCACTGGGAGCAACAGATTTTGCATCACATGTCAGGTCCTGGGGCAGGGGAAGATGGAAGTACTTCACCTTTTGTCTACTATAGAATACACTCGCAGCTAAGGAAACTTCTTCATTTAGAACAAAATACAGACATACCTTGGAAGTCAAACGGAATCCATTCGACTTCCAAAATGTTAGACTTCCAAGGTGCGGCTTCCAATTGGCTGGAGCGTCTTGCAGCCAATCAGAAGCTGAGGAAGTCGCACTGGACCTTCAGCTTCCAAAAATCATTCAAATGCCGGAACAATCACTTCCGGTTTTCAATCATTCGGGAGCCGAAACAGTTGAGATTACAGGTGTTCAGCTTCCGAAGTTCCATTGTACCTGACACACACCTTTTTTCAGTGCAAACAGCAACTTGAAGAGGAGGAAATTCAGGAAAATACAGTCAACCCCACCCCACAACTCCTGTTTGGGGTTATTTTATATATATATATATATATATATATATATATATATATATATGAGAAATCCTGACCTCAGACTTCCAACATCATGTGTCAACATCTGAACCCTGCAACATGTGATGCATTTTTTAAACATTTAGCCAACTTTGCCTCTTACTCTCCTTGATCTGGTTTGGTTGAGTCTATCTCAGCTATAAATGAGCCTTGCAGGTGTGGCTGCAGCAAACAAACTTCTCAATTAACTACGGTTTCCCATTGCACCCAAATCAAGAAACTCCAGTTAATGGCTTTGGAACAAGTCCCAGGATATTACGGCATGTTCAAAGCACAGATTCACATCTTGGCTTGTCCCAAAGCCATTAACCATCGTTTCCTGTTTCAAACAAAATGGGGGGGGGTCAGATGTAGCCAATGTGGGGCCCTCCAGATACTGCTGGACTACAACTCCCATCATCCCTGACCATTGGGCATGCTGGCTGGGACTGATGGGAACTAGCCACCACAACATCCTGAAGGCAGCACGTTAGTGACCCCTGCTATAGTTAATGGAAGAATTTCCTGCATGTTTCTTGACTTGCACAAACGGGTGGCGTGGATTGCATACACCCACAATGCTAATTCACATCTGGGCATACTATACCAAGATATGATTATCTGAATTCTTGCTCTCTTTTCTTAAAAAACAGACAACAATCCCCCCCTTTTTTTTAAAAAAAAAAGGACATTGAAAATTGGAGTGGTGCCCCTGGTGCGACCTGTCGCAGGCCGGGCTGTGCCCCAGATGTTGCTCCCAAACCAGCTGTTGGTCGCTGCTGTTCTGCAGGATGCAGGATGTCATCTATCCTCCCACGGAGGACCTTAAGGTCCATAAATAGCAACACCCTAGAGGTCCCGGGCCCTAAGGAAGTTAGATTAGCTTCAACCAGAGCCAGGGCCTTTTCAACACTGGCCCCGGCCTGGTGGAACGCTCTGTCTCATGAGACCAGGGCCCTGCAGGATCTGATTTCTTTCCACAGGGCCTGTAAGACAGAGTTGTTCCGCCTGGCCTTCGACTTGAAATCAATTTGATTCCCTCCCCCTTTTTCTTTTTTCCTTTCTCCTTCTGTGATGGAACTCCTATTTGGGGACTTCCCTGGCTTTTTTCTGGCCGATGTAGGACCAGTCTGGATAGTTAGCCTTGGTGAAGACTTGACGTTTTCATCCCCAAAAAAGTTTTTGATTTGAGTCTCTACTGAAATGAGGCTGCATTTTAATGTTTTAATGTTATATTTTAATCTTGTTTTTTAAGTTGTATTTCAATCAATTATTTTATTTTGGGTGTTAGCCGCCCTGAGCACGGTCTTGGCTGGGGAGGGCGGGGTACAAATAAAATTATTATTATTATTATCTGCCCCGGCCACCACTCTTAGTTTGCCAAGGGAGAGAATGCAGCCATTGATCATCACAATAGAAAGATGGCTGAAACCCACCAAGGGTTCAGTAACAAAACGGAGTGGAGCGGGGAGAAATTGCAATCCCGGCCCCACCCTTTTTGCTTGAAGGGGCCTGGTTTTGAGGGCTGAAAAGCATGCTTTTAAGAGTTGTGCATGAGAGGCCACATTAGCAGAGAAGGTTGGGAGGGAAGGTAAAACAGGGAAAGGAACACTGGCCCCTAATGAATGCGATGAGTTTTGAGTGCAAGACAGGGATCCCCATTCACTGCTGCTCCTCTGCTCTGTTTGCAGGTTGTTTGTTAAGTGAAGAGACCTTCTTGCTGAACTGCCCTAGACATAAGGTAGGTGAGCAGACCTTCAGGAACAAGGGGAAATCTCTGGGGGTTTGTTGCTCTCTGCACTCTCTCCTGGCTGTGGCCATCAGGAGCTGCTTTGCACGAAATCAGACCAGCATAAGCTGACAAAACTGAGGCTGGTCAACTGGCTGGCAGAGGCTCTCTGGCAACGATGCCTTTTCAATTCCAAGCTTTTTAGAAACAGATACACCCGGAATTTGAATCTGATGTTTTCTGTGTGCAAATCAGGTTCTCTGTCCCGGTTCTGTGGCCCAGGGGGTGAGTTTCTGCGCTTGAGATTCTGTACAAAGTTGTACTAGATGCAGAAATCAACAACCTCTTAGGCGCTCAGATTGCTTACCTTTCTTCTCCCCGGCCCTTCCTTTAAAAAAACACACAAACAAACAAGTTTCTAGTCCTTAAATTTGCAAAAATTGCCTTGGGGAAACTCTGTAGGCATTGCCAGTTGAAATCCCAGAAGTCAGGGACAAGGCTGAGTAGAATTCCCATTTTGTAATTTCTCTATCCCTCTCTGTTCAAATTCACAATCCTACACAAGTCTACACAGTAGTAAGTTCCATTGAGTAGCACACTGAATGGCTCAGTGATAAAGCTGCTGTTTTATATGCAGAAGGTCTCAGGTTCAACCCCTGCATTTCCAGGTATGGCTGGGAGAGATCCCTGTCTGAAATCCTGGAGACCTGCTGCCAGTCAGAGTCTGCGTAGTGTAAGGATGGGGTAGAAAAAAAGATTCAGTTTACCTTTTAAAAGTGAAACTACTTTTTGCACTACCCAAACAATACACACAAACCGAACCAAGGCAGAGTTGCCTTTGGAATTCACGCCTCTCCAAATTTTGCATTGCGGTTCTCCAGCCAAGTAACATGTACAATAATGAACATAGTAACATGGTAAGGAAAAGTGTGCATAGAAATGCTCGTGAAAAAACTTACAAAAAAGACATTATAGTGGGAGAAATTGCCTACTAATGTGTACACTAGGGGAAAACTGCCTACGAAAACATATGTTTTGTTTATGATATTGCTTTGCAAGACTGCGAGTTATTTCTCAGTTTTTATTATTATTCATTAAATTTGTATACCGCCCTCCATCTGTAGATCTCAGGGAGGTTCACAACACAGAAATACAAGATTAAAAACAACAACACTAAATACATACTAAAAACAATAAGAAAAACAAACAAACAAACAAACAAACCAGTAATCGCCCCCCATTTGTGTGTGTAAACTTGGGGAAATCTCAATTTTTTTTAAAAAAAAATGTGTTAGGAGTAATTCACACTTAAACCCTGGTGACTTTTCATGAGGACTCATTTTTTAATTTTTTTTTTAAAAATGGCAAACTGGTGTGGAAATGTGCATAACAGAACATAAGATTGGGGAAATGAGAAACTGAAATTTGCCCATCTCTAGTGTAGACGGTGCTCAGCTGGTAGAAGGCAGTTCCTGCCTGTTCCAAATGCACCTTCCTCCCAGGAACGCAGGGAATAAGTTTGCAGCGTTTTGCTTTCCTCTGCACAGAAAGGGTTACGCTGGCAGAGGATTCTGATGTGTCTCTCTCTGGGTGCTTTATATGCACGGACACACATGCTGGCAGCAGGGGCCATGCTGCTATCTTCCCTATCCAGGCAATTGGAGCTGCCACCTGGCCAGAGCTGGCAGCGGCACCTGGCATCTCCTGGCAGCAGCCAGGATCCCAGCACCCTGGCAGGTCCCATGGCTGATGCCTGCCCTGGGTTTCCCTTAATTTATTCTATTTCCCACCCCCCCTGGCTAATCACTCCAAACAGCCCCAGGCAGCTGGGCCTGGCTACCCATTTAATTCCCTACAGTGCCTCCAACCTAAAACCGCTCTGGGGTATTGTGATAAATTAAACAGCTGGCGAACCACTAGGTTCAGCTTCCTGGAGCACAGCCACTGCCCCTAGGTGAGCCTTCCAGAGCCCCCGAAGGAAGGGGTGCACCATATGACACATCGCCCAGGGCCTTCTCAAACCCTCTGCATGACCGGAGAAGATCAGGCTGGCTTGACCACAATTTCATCCTCCTGGCCAGCTGCCAGAACAGAAGGATGTAAAAATGTGTGTGTCCGGGCTGTGTGGGTTTGCATGTTAACATTTGCATTTGTTTTTCCACTCTCCCTAAGATTTTGGTGGGTTTTTTTAAAAGTTGGAAGAGGGAGGCACTTTGCATGTGCTCAAAGCGCTCCTGCCCTTGAAACTGATGTTTTGGAAACTGCTTCCTTTCGGGAAAGGAGGCACTGTGCAGGGTCTCTGCCCCTAGACGCTTTAAAATAAACACCACACACTCTGCCTTGTTCTGCTCAGGACAAAGAAAATGCGAGTGGTTCTTCAGCATTAGGACAAAGGTCCTTCTAACTGCAGTTTCCAGGAGTGGTGAACCAGAAGCCTCTGGGAAGCCCTCGAGCAGAGAATGGAAGTAGTATATTCCCACTGTTGCAGCCTAGAAACTGGTTTTTGGGGATATGCTTCTGACTATGAGGGCTCTGTATTAGCAACATGACTAAGGCTGCATACGCAGTATATCTTTAAAGCACCTTCAAAGCACATTTTTGCACCTCTAAATAATTCTGTGTGCTTAGTTTGAGGTTGATGGGAATTCTGTGTGAGGGGGAAACTACAGCACCCAGAATTCCTTGAGGGAAATAATGTGCTCTAAAGGTACATTGTGTATGCAGATTGATAAATCTGTCCCAATTTTTTTTTAATCTCCTCCTCCTCCTCCTCCTCCACAAATTTGTCTAATCCCCTTTCTAAACCTGTCTAAGCCAGTCCACATCCTGTTATGGCAAACGCCGTGACTTAATCATGCCTCGCGGAAAGACCTCCTTTCTTTCATCCTCCCTGAATATCCTTCCCATCAACTTCGCTCAGTGATTCAGAGTTCTAGTATTAGGGTTGCGGGGTGGAGGGAACTCTGCGCGTGTTCAAACCCTGCGCTCTCAGTCCGTGCAGCCGGAAACTACTTTGGGCAAAACAAGTGGCAGCAACCTCTGGGCCAAGGGGAGCTCAGGCACCTCTCAGCTCCAAAGGCTGCCTTCCTCTTTGGCTTGAGGCTGCCTGCCAGCCAGCCATCAGGATTAGGCCTCCGTGGCGCTAAGGCCAGCACCCAGAAGTCTTTGGGTGGCTGTTACCCACATCACAGCCAGCTCCCCAAACACGCCTGTCTGCCTCTCAGGAGCGGGTTTGCATGCCCGACGCCAGCGGCGTTTGCAGTATTCCTCTCGGCAGCTTGTGTTTGCAAGCAACACCCTCTCTCGCCTCCCATCCCTGTCAGGACGGGGAGCAAGCTGGCCACGGCTGTGGGGAGGCGGACGCCATTCCTTCACACCGCTTACTGCAGTTCCTGCCACGTCCTATTCCTCCTCCTCCTTCCCCACCGTCAAGGAAACAGGAGACAGCCTTTTGGAGCAAAGGCCTTTTGTCTTGCCTTAGTAACCGCTGACCAGGCCTCTGACATAATTTAATCACCATGGCGAGGGCTTCCTGCCTTCTCCCCCTTCCTCCTCCCCACCCTCCCAACACCACGCCAAGGGTTGCACCTGGTTATCTGCAATTTGAAGCAGACGGTGCTGTGGGAGAAGGAGGAGAGAGGGAGACCCAGATGGGGATCTGGGGAGGCAGGCTGGCAGGCATTCCTGAGACAGAAAATCGAGAGGCTGAGGGGTGTCTCTCCCTTGTCAGCTCTGGCAGGAAAGAAGTCCAGCGGCTGAACATCATAGGCCTCACCTTGACCCCCACCCCACGGCAGCCGTTATGAGCATGACCTGTTTGCAGGGGGCGGGGGTCTCCCCCCCCCACTCCCCTCTGCAAATCTGACAAAAGCTACAGTCCACCTGGAATTCCACCGACTTCCACAAAGGCATGGGCCTCAAAGCTTTTTTTCAAAAAAAAAATACTTTTAAAACAAGGAGAATCAGAATGCCCTTCTTTCTTTGTTTTCCCTTCCCAGTGAATGTGGGAAGCCATTAATTTGGAGAAGGGGCTTAATGAAATCTGCAAGCCCCTCTGCCAATTCCTTCCCCCATTTTAACCAAGCCAGTACACACACACACACGCACACCCCCCCCAAAAAAAAAAACTTTTTAAAAAGTAGTTGAAAGTAAGGGTGATGGCACTCACAGCACCCCTCTCCACATTGTTATTCAAGCATGGAGTCAGACTATTCTGTCTGTCATAAATTTTCCCTTCAGATTAATTTGTGTGTGCGTGCAGCTTCTGTGAAGACCTTTTTCCATATGTTCTGTTGTTGCTTTGAAAAGTTAAACAAGTTGAACATAGAATAGCCAGCCCCACAAAGCCTCTGCCGGGAGTTGCTCCTCACAGGACTGTGGTGCTTAAATCTCTACACCCTTTTATCTTTGCATTTCTCGACCTTGTGATGCCTACGCTATCATAATATTTTGAATTTGCACAGCACTTTTTCTAAGCGCTCAAAGCACTACCTAAACCTTATCCCACATGCAACCCTTACAGCCACCCTATAAGGTAAGATAGTAGTATTTGTCAGCTGGGATAGCTCAACTAAGTAGAGCATGAGGCTCTTGATCTCAGGGTCTTATGTTCAAGCCCCATGTTGGGCAAAAGATTCCTGCCTTGCAGGGGGTTGGACTAGATGACCCTTGTGGTCTCCTCCAACTCTCTGATTCTGTGATTTTATTCTCCCACACTGCCTCCTTGTATGCGAGCAGATGGTGGAGGGGGCAGGCTGGAGTTTAGAGATAAGGAGCCTCCCTTGTTTATCCATAGCTGGGATGAATTTTCAGTCAAGGACACAGCAACTCACATGGGCCAATTCACATAGTGCAGTTTTTAAGAGTACAGTTAAGATGTTTGCAGTATACACTTGAAAAAGTAAATTGGAACAAACTTGTGTTGGCCCTCTAGCCTTTCCATGCGGCCCTCAGAACTCTCCCCAAGCCAACCCTTTACCAGCCCTGCTCCTTGGGTGCTTTTGCCTGGCCAGAATGTGTCCTTGGGCATTGACAATGCCTCTTGCTTGCCTGGCCAGAGGTTGGCAAGGCAGGCATTGCTGGGTGTAAAACCCTCCGCCTTTTGCATGGCTGCAAACACAGCCAATTGCCCAAAGGGAAGAGCCACAGGTAGCTCCACCCCCTTTCCCCTCTGGCCCTGCCCTCCACCAGCATGCAGCAGAAGGATGGATGCCTGCCTGCCTGCCTGCAAGGGGATGGAGGCCTTGGGCGCCCCTTCCGCACTATATGAGGCATCCCCCAAGCGTGCCACTGCTGCAATGTGCAAAAATGCCCCTGATCTCCATTAGCGGCTACGCAACATTGGCTTCTTGGCTGCAACATCCATTCTATTTTTACTTTAAAAAGGGGGAGGGGAGGAGGGAAAAACCCCAAACCCCTTTCCTTCTTCCTGCCTGTTTCCTATTTTTGCCGTGTGCATTTTTATGCCTGCGCACAAATAGCACACGGGCGCTTGCGGTGTCAAGAGTGGGGTGGGGTGCGAAGTCGTGGGCGTCTGGCAGGCCCGGGGGCCTCGCGGTACCAATTAATGCAGGCCAAGCGGAAGGAGGCGGGGGGGGGGCGGAAAGGGGGGTTAGGAATAAGACACCCGGGAACTCGCCCGGAGAGAAGCTGGCAAGGCAAGTGCTATT